AGTTTTTGGCAGTTGTGATCTTATTATCTGAACAGAAACCAGATGCAAATGAACTCTTTGAATTCTTTTGCTTCTGCCTGTTTCTACCTGTAAGCCTCTCAGAAGATTCAGTTTACAACTGTGTAGCTACTTGACTACCAGGAAAGAAGAAATGGAGTATGCTTCCCATTCTCTCTTTACCATAAATGTATCTATGATTATTGATGATTATTTTTCTTTCTGTTTTCTTTATAGATATAAGCAAGAACTAAAAGCTAAAGAACACAAATAAAAGAGTTCCTGATCACCTGAACAATCTAGATGTGGAAATAACCATTGGGACCTAGTTTATTATTTGGTTATTGATAAGGCTAAGCTAACTGTGAGTTTGGAAGGCACAATAAAACTAACTGTAACTAGCAGCTAGTGCTTGATTCAGCAACAAAATAAAGCAAACTTTTAATAGCAGTCTGTCTTTACATGACTTAAGGAACTTATCTGTGGATATCAGTAACATTTTCTCACCATTTGTCCACAATAAGCGGTACTTGCCCATATATACCCCAGCCTCCTCCTGTTCCAGTCAGCCAACATATATGTACATAAAAGAGCACACAAATTCAAGAAGTTGAAAGGTTAAATTATCTGCATATTTAGTGTAGGATGGTCAGGTAGCTGTAAGTGAAAGGAAATTTTGCCGAAGAGACTGAGAAATGGGTAGTGGAATGACTATCAAGATGACTTCAGACTATTTTAAAACATTTTAACATGCCCTGAAGAATCTTGATGATTTTTTAATAAATGTTGTATAAATTTCTTTTACAGCTACAGATTTTTAAATAGGATCATTGTAAAGATTAATAATGTTTTAACATGGTCACATAGTCCCTGGTCCATGATAAGCGTTAAATTTTTCAGTTACCCTCAGTAACTGGTATAATGTAGCAGAAAGTATTCTATATTCAGACAGACCTGAATTTGAATCCCAGCTCTATGACTTATATGTTGTGACTTTTTTTTTTTTTTTTTTTGAGACAGGGTCTCATTCTGTTGCCCAGGATGGAGTGCAGTGGCACAGCCTTGGCTCATTGCAAACCCTACCTCCTGGGCTCAAGCAATCCTCCTGCCTCAGCCTCCCAAGCAGCTGGGACTATAGGCACGCACCACCATGCCCAGTTAATGTTTGTATTTTTTAGAGGTAAGGTTTTTGTCATGTTTCCCAGGCTGATCTCCAGCTCCTGAGCTCAGGTAGTGTGCCCACCTCATCCTCTCAAAGTGCTGAGATTACAGGCATGAGCCACCAAACCCAGCGTATGCAATGACTTTAGACAAGTTAGGAGAGTGCCTAGCAAAGTACCTGGGACATAAGTAGATTTTCTGTAAATGTTTGTGACCTTTGGCCCCATTGTGAGGAGAGACTGAACATATATCACTCCATAGAAAGAAATAATTAACCATCTGTTTGATTTGGCTTTCAATGTAGAGTGCTGAGCTTTTTTCTGAAAGTGCTAGTAAAGTCAGTCCTCGTTAAAAATACAGTCAGATGAGGTTTGGTGCGGTGGCTTATGCTTGTAATCCCAGCAGTTTGGGAGGCTAAGGTGGTCGGATCACAAGGTCAAGAGATCAAGACCATCCGGGCCAACATGGTGAAACCCCATCTCTATGAAAAGTACAAAAATTAGCTAGGTGTGGTGGCGCACACCTGTAGTCCCAGCTACTCGGGAGGCTGAGGCAGGAGAATCACTTGAACCCGGGAGGCAGAGGTTGCAGTGAGCCAAGATCGCACCACTGCACTCCAGCCTGGGCAACAGAGCAAGACTCAAAAAAAAAAATAGATAAGACAGCAAAGCAAGTTGTTTCAAGATTTGAAGAAACGAGACAAAACAACTTTTTGAGTAATACTTTAACATATGAAATTTGTCAGCAGTTGAAAACCTTGTACTTTATCATTTGTCCCTTAACCATGGCCCACCATGGAGGATAAAAGATTAGAGACTTTGACATAGGGCAAAATGAGGAGTTTCTAAAGAGTCAAATTATTGTTGCTTTCATTTCATAAACCACACTGTTAAATTCATTTGTGTGTTTGGTATGGGTATGCACACATGTATGTGTTTCCTAGGTTAAGCATTTAGGAAAAACATATTATGAAATGACATAGACACAAAAAAGTTTATTAAAAATGTGTATGTGGCCGGGCGCGGTGGCTCACGCCTGTAATCCCAGCACTTTGGGAGGCCGAGGCGGGTGGATCATGAGGTCGAGAGATCGAGACCATCCTGGTCATCCTGGTGAAACCCCGTCTCTACTAAAAATACAAAAAATTAGCTGGGCATGGTGGCGTGTGCCTGTAGTCCCAGCTACTCAGGAGGCTGAGGCAGGAGAATTGCCTGAACCCAGGAGGCGGAGGTTGCAGTGAGCCGAGATCACGCCATTGCACTCCAGCCTGGGTAACAAGAGCGAAACTCTGTCTCAAAAAAAAAAAAAAAAAAAAAAAAAATGTGTATGTGGAGCCAGGCGCCATGGCTTACTCCTGTAATCCCAGCACTTTGGGAGGCTGAGGCGGGTGGATCGCCTGAAGTCAAGAATTCGAGACCAGCCTGGCCAACATAGTAAAACTCTGTCTCTACTAATAATACAAAAATTGGCCGGGCGCGGTGGCTCAAGCCTGTAATCCCAGCACTTTGGGAGGCCGAGGCGGGTGGATCACGAGGTCGAGAGATCAAGACCATCCTGGTCAACATGGTGAAACCCCGTTTCTACTAAAAATACAAAAAAAAAATTAGCTGGGCATGGTGGCTCATGCCTGTAATCCCAGCTACTCAGGAGGCTGAGGCAGGAGAATTGCCTGAACCCAGGAGGCGGAGGTTGCGGTGAGCCGAGATTGCGCCATTGCACTCCAGCCTGGGTAACAAGAGCAAAACTCTGTCTCAAAAAAAAAAAAAAAAATTATCTGGTCATGGTGGTGCATGCCTGTAATCCCAGCTACTCCAGAGAATGAGGTAAGAGAATTGCTTGAACCTGAGAAACGGAAGTTGCAGTGAGCCGAGATCTCGCCATTGCACTCCAGCCTGGGTGACAAGTGCAAAACTCCATCTCAAATAATAATAATAATATGTATCCTGTCAAAAACTCTAATTGCTACTTGGAACACATTGTCTAGTTATCCGTTTCACAACTATTCTCAAAGACTTAGTAGGAAGAATGTATATAATGAAGTCCTGGCTGAGCACAGTGGCTCATGCCTGTAATCCCAGCACCTTGGGAGGCCAAGGTGGGCAGATCACCTGAGGTCAGGAGTTCGAGACCAGCCTGACCAATATGGCCAAACCCTGTCTCTACTAAAAATACAAAAATTAGCTGGGCATGGTGGCAGGCGACTGTAGTCCCAGCTACTTGGGATATTGAGACAGGAGAATTGCTTGAACCTGGGAGGTGGAAGTTGCAGTGAGCCAAGATTCTGCCACTGCACTCCAGCCTTGGCAACAGAGCAAGACTGCATCACACACACACACACACACACACACACACACACACGTCCTTACTATCAATGAAGTTACTGAACTCCATAAAAATAACTTCCACAATGGTGCAAATCACTTGATTAGTACAGTTGAATTCTTTATCACAACTTTCTGATAGGCCTTACTGAGAGCTTCACTAGGTAAGTTTTCTTTCTCAATGCCAGGTCTGACAGGCCAGAGTTTCAGCTCAACTCTGCCATGCATTAACTGTGAGACTGTGTTAACCTCTGTCTCTGCCCTTCAGTATTTTCAAGAGTAAAATGAGGATAATCATAGTACTTGCTTCATAGGCTTGTTCTAAATATTGAGATAATGTTTTAACACAGTGCCTGGTTCACAGTGAATGTTAAAGATGTAGAAAGTTCAGAAAATGGTAATTTTACTAGTTGAAGGTAGACCCAGAAAGTACTTTCTTAGACTAAGGAAGTTTTAACTTCACTACTAAAAGGATATACTGCGTTACCCTACTCGGACGGTTTCTGAACTAATAAATTTATAGCAGAAAACAAGCTGCTTGGAGTAGAGGAGTAGGAGGTGGGGTTGACAATGCTCAGTAAGAGAGAAATTCTTTAACCTCGTCTTTTTTTTTTGTGGTATGACATTTCTTTTAAGGAAACTTTGATCCTAGGTACATCAGTGCTACTGTTTGCTCATAGTAAACATTTTCTTTTCCAAGTTATAAAGTAATAGTGAAAGGCTGAATGTTAACGAGGATGGACCTCAAAGCTCAGGTTCCTTTCTGTAAAATGAAGATCTCTTCTGGAGCCTGTTTATATAACGAAGCAGAAATAGAAAACACTGGCATTTATTAAAAATGGCTCTCTCCCAAAGGGGATTGTTTAATTATATGAGGTATGATTCTAATTATAAGACTGGTTTCCACAACTCACACCAGAAAATTCACTCAACAAACTAAATGACCCTCTTTTTTTCCCACCTAAGAAAACTGTGTTTTACAACATTTTGAAGCACACAGTAAACTTATAAAGCGGAGCTTTATATAAAAACATACACAGGTTTTTAAATAAGACTTTTTAAATTCAAATTTTAAAAGCTGTGCCCCTAAATGTTAATTGTGGTTGTGATAAACATAAGAACATTTAGAAAATCAATATATGATTTAAGATGTTAGAAAACACGCCACCCTCTTAAAACACATTTTTCCAGTGTCACATCGGATAAAGAAAACTCAAATCCAGTGCCCTTTGGATTTGAAGTTACCTTTGGGATAAATTTGGCTAAAAGTGTATAGTATACTTGACCAGTCAGAAAGGACAGATATATAATTATTCAAACAAAAATTTACCTCACAAATATGTCTGGAGGTAAGTAGTGAATTTATTGTAACTGGTACATTTCATAGTCCTGGTACAAGCTGCAAGCACTATTGGCTAAAATTAGGTGTTTGCTTGCTCTGGAGATACCTGATAATCACCTACCAACTATTGCCTGATTTCAACCATCTTCCACGTGGCCAAGGAAAGAGTTGTGTAAACTACTCTGGGGTCATGTCAGTCTCCTCTGACTTTTGTCCCAAATGTGCAGGTAAGAGAACCTGAAACAGCCAGTCCTTGTACAGTAGTAGGCCATTCAGATTGGCGGGGGAGGGGAGGGCAGTGCCACCCAATCGGAAGCATAGTCAGTGCCCGTGGAACAATGAGCTGCTGATGAGGGTGTGGCCTGGGAAACGGCTTTTAGACAAAACTGTCATTTTATGGGTCATTTATATAGACAGACATGGCACTTCGGCTGTCTTCAGAATAATGTCACCCTGCCCCTCTCCTGTCTTCTGCAGTCTTAAAAGACTCAGTCTCTAATTGAGGTCTGGCTTTTCCTCAGCCTTGGATGAAGTAAAGGTATGTGGAAGTAAGAGTCTCAGCAGAAAGAATGGCTGCAGAGCTGAAGATGAGGGCGACCATCAGGAAAGAAGACAGCTAGTGGAGTGCAGAGGAGTGGGAAAGCCTGGGGCTAGATGTCAGGATCCAAACTTGTGTATACCTCTGTGTCAGTCCTTTACATGAGCTTAGAAGCTTGAAGGCTTAAATATTGCCTCATTTATCCTGGATGCTCTTTCTTTCTAGCTTACTCTCTTTATTTGCCTCTTCTGCAGTTTCTCACGACATCCTCCTTTTTATCAGTCAACAACTACCAAGTGCCTACCACTTGAAGGGGGTTCTAGGAAGACGCTGTGGAGGAAACAAGGATATGTAGAACATGGGTTGAAACAGGGAGCTTACAATTCAGAGGAAGACAAATAGAAGCAGTTCAAAAGATAATCAAGGGTATTTGTATGGGAAATGAGCCACTTAAGTGTAGACATTAACAGCATAATAGCTCAGAAGAAAAATTACCATGGCTAGAGTAGGCAAGCAAGCTTTCATGACAGATAACACTGTGCCTTTAAGTTCAGAGTATTTCCCTCTTTGGACTCTTGTGAAACCTGACTTTACATACAGATGAAAAGTTGAATATAAACTAAAATCTATTAGGAAATTCTAGAGGAGAGATTTAGAGAAACTAATGGGCCGGGCGCGGTGGCTCAAGCCTGTAATCCCAGCACTTTGGGAGGCCGAGGCGGGTGGATCACGAGATCAAGAGATCGAGACCATCCTGGTCAACATGGTGAAACCCCGTCTCTACTAAAAATACTAAAAATTAGCTGGGCATGGTGGCGCGTGCCTGTAATCCCAGCTACTCAGGAGGCTGAGGCAGGAGAATTGCCTGAACCCAGGAGGCGGAGGTTGCGGTGAGCCGAGATCGCACCATTGCACTCCAGCCTGGGCAGCAAGAGCGAAACTCCGTCTCAAAAAAAAAAAAAGAAACTAATGGATATAATCAAACCATAATTTCTCTTTTAATTTTTGAATACTACTGAGTTTTCTTTTGCACAACTACTCTCTTCATTGAGGAATCCTTGGTTTATCTTTAGGGCCTCATTCACCTGCTTGCCTTTTGACTCAGGTGTCTCATTCCTAGGTTCTTCCATGCTTTGTCAGTACCCATGCTGTTTATGCTTTATTCTTAATGATAGAATCGGCCAAACAATTGGTAAGGATACCATCAACATGCATTGAAAATGCTCTTAAATTAAATACATCTTTTCTCTAGGTCATATACATCCCCAAAGTTGCTATAAAGCATATACAAATGGGATATAGCACGATACAGTAGAATATCAACTTTCAATTCCCACAGACCTGGGTATTCCAGCTGTATAACCTAGGGCAAGTTAATATCTCTATGCCTCAGTTGTCATATCTATAGAAGGGATCAGGTCTGCTTCACAGTGCTGTTCTGAGGATTAAATGATGCAACTTATGTAGAATCGATATGGCTCCAATAAGTAGAGGAACACCAGGGTTCTTGGTCCTCATGCCAGTTTAGATAAAATGATACAGACATGCGTGGAGTGGTTTTAAGGAGCAAAGAGTTTAATAGGCAAGAAGGAAGAAGCTCCCCCATACAGAGATAAAGGGAGGGGGGCTCCAAAGCTGAAAGAGGGAACCTCCAGTGTGGTGAACATCAGCCAGGTATATATTACAGAGGCTGAAGGAGGCAGTGTCTGATTTGCATAGGGTTCAGGGGATTAGTTTGACCAGGCACATCATTCATGAAGCCCGTGAAAAAGCTGGCCCTCCCACCCTAGCCTTTTAATATGCAAATACAGGGTGCCAAGATGTTCTACACGTGTGGAGGTATTTGGGGGCGGCCATGTTGCCAGGAACATGTAGGGCAAGTACAAGAAGGCCACGGGAATTGCCATGTTGGGCAGACCCAGTTTCTAATGGCCTGCATATCAAATGTTGCTGGCCTTGCTCTAAGAGCTGGGGCTTTACCAGAAACTTTTCTGGAAGTGCTTTAAAAAACAAAAACTTGGCCGGGCTCGGTGGCTCAAGCCTGTAATCCCAGCACTTTGGGAGGCCGAGGCGGGTGGATCACGAGGTCAAGAGATCGAGACCATCCTGGGCAACATGGTGAAACCCTGTCTCTACTAAAAATACAAAAAATTAGCTGGGCATGGTGGCGTGTGCCTGTAATCCCAGCTACTCAGGAGGCTGAGGCAGGAGAATTGCCTGAACCCAGGAGGCAGAGGTTGCGGTGAGCCGAGATCGCGCCAATGCACTCCAGCCTGGGTAACAAGAGTGAAACTCCGTCTCAAAAAAAAAAAAAAAACGAAAACTTCCCAAGGACCCCTTTTCCTCTCCATCTGCCTAAAGTAATTTCTTAATAACTCCTACAACAGAATGCTTCACATAAAAAGGTCATAAATTATTATTACAACGTGGTATGTGCCTATAGAAAGGTAAATATTGCTATCACTAATCATTCTGTGATGTTGCGGAACTTCAAGCAGAAAACTGTATCTTCAAAAATAGAAAATTTCTATTATTTTTTGTGAGTGTTCATAAGAAACACCCAGGTATTCATCTTAGATGCCCCTGCCTTTTAAACCTATAATTTTCTTCTTTTAGTTTCACATCTGCATATGCCATTGTAATAGCAAAATGCATCTACTTTCCTTGTTTGGTAATCATAAACAGAAAAATCTGTCCAAGTTCTCAAATCACCTTAATTAAAACAATAGAATCTTAGCAATCATCTAATCATCTCTACACTGACTAAAATCACCTCTACCCTCACAGGTAGATAGCTATCCAGTACTTCCTAAACTGCCCAGTTTGAGCATTCATTCTTACATTGTTTATATTTGTCCTTCAGTGATCACCAGTCGTTGATCCTAGTTGATCCTGAAAAACAAAAAATAAATCTAACCCACTTTCCATCCAGTGTTAACAACTTTAGCAAAACAGTCTATATTGTGCATGTGAGGAGAGTAGGGTATTGCCAAGATTGAAGGGGCTGATAGTAGGGCTGCTAGAAAGAATGCAATGTTTGGAATATATTTATACTAAAAAGTGGTTGTTTATTTAAAATTCAAATTTATATAAAGTTTGAGCATCCTCTATTTTTATTAGCTCAATCTGTCAATCTTACAAGTGGTAGCTAAAGAAATCAAAGCTGAGCTAGTGAGCTGGGGGCAGGAGAGGGAAGAATAAAGCTACACTCTACTCAGTTCTGCTCTGTCCTGTCTCAGTTCTCTGGCTGCTCAGCACATCTGTGGAAGCCACTTCAGAGGCCCACATTACACTTTGCATATGGACCTTTGTCCCCTACTTACCCCTCAACTTTCACAGTTCAGCCCTATTTGGGGTTGAAGTTGAGTAGTTGAAGACAACTACCATTTTAACCAAAATGTCGTAATTTCCTGACTTATTTCCAATCCCTCCCATCATTCCTCACATTCTAGAGTCGATAAACTTCAAAGAGGTCAATGAACTTCAATCCTCTGGATTAGATTTGAACACTTTAATGTACCTTAAAATTGCGTTGCATCCAAAGAGCTAATTAACATATGAAAAGGTGCTTAATCTCATTAGTACCAACAAGGAAACACAAAACCACAGATACCACCACTTAACTAGCAAGATGACTAAAATTTGGAAAGACTGACAATACTAAGTGTTGTCTGAGATATGTAGCAACTGAGCTGTCATACCTTGCCTGAGGGAGTGCAAATTGGTACCATCACTTTGGAAAGCTGTTTGGCAAGATCTACTCAAGCAGCGGTATCCAATCTTTTAGCTTCCCTGGGGCACATTGGAAGAATTGTCTTGGGCCACACATAAAATAACACTAACGCTAATAGCTGATGAGCTAAGAAAAAGAAAATTACAAAAAAAAACTCAACAATGTTTTAAGAAAGTTTACAAATTTGTGTTGGGCCACATTCAAAGCCATCCTGGACTGCATGTGGCCCACAGGCTATAGGTTGGACAATCCTGTACTAAAGCTTAACGTGTATATCCTATGACCCAGTAATTCTACTCCTATGTATAAACCCAAGAGAAATGCATACATCTGTTCACCAAAACACATAAATAAGAATGTTCTTGCCTGGCGCGGTGGCTCAAGCCTGTAATCCCAGCACTTTGGGAGGCCGGGACGGGTGGATCACGAGGTCAAGAGATCGAGACCATCCTGGTCAACATGGTGGAACCCCGTCTCTACTAAAAATACAAAAAATTAGCTGGGCATGGTGGCGCGTGCCTGTAATCCCAGCTACTCAGGAGGCTGAGGCAGGAGAACTGCTTGAATCCAGGAGGCGGAGGTTGCGGTGAGCCGAGATTGTGCCATTGCACTCCAGCCTGGGTAACAAGAGCGAAACTCTGTCTCAAAAAAAAAAAAAAAAAAAAAAAAAAGAATGTTCTTAGCAGCATTATTCATAATGGTGTAAAACTGAGAACAACCTATAGTCAATAGTATGGTGGATGTTTTGTGGTATAATCAGGTGATGGAATACTATATAGCATCGAAAATGAACAATTATTGATAGACATGGATGAATATCACAACAACATGGATGAATATCATAAACAGAAAAGATGTAGTATGATTTCATTTATATAAAGTTTGAAAACTGGCAAAGGTGATCTATGTTGTTAGAAATAAGAAAGGTTACCTCCAGGGAGAAGAGAGGGGTAGTGACTTGAAGGTAGCATGGGAAAAACTTCTGGACTGCTGGTAATGTTTCCTTCTGGCTATGAATGGGTATTACATGGATTTGTTCACCTTAGAGTAATTCAAGCTATATATTTTGATTTGTATATTCTTCTACATGTATGTTATGCTTCAATAAATTTTTTTAAAGATAGCATTAATTTGCAGTAAATCTAGTTTTTTAACACCTTGTGCTTACGCATTTAATTTTGTTATAAACTCTAAATACAGCATTTTACACTTATTCCTTTGAAATTTCATTATTTTGGTTGATTAAGATATTTTAAGTTCGGGCCGG